TATATATATATATATATATATATATATATATATATATCTTAGTGGGGTCAAGTCAATATTTTGTTCAAGCAATATGAAAGTCAGGTTATTGACTCTTACTCAGATCATACATTGGGATGGTAAAATATTTTTTCACTAATAACACAAAAAAAATTTATGTCTACAAAAATCAAATGATCACATGAGCCCATCTAAAAGTTAAACAACTTAAGCATATGAAATAAGTGCATGTACACATGTACATCATTTAGAGGAATTCATGTTATTTTTATTCATGTTTGCATGAGTTTTTACAGCTACTAATGTTGCTATTACTTTGACGAGAAATATTGACATTTTACAGTAAAATCATTCCGTTCCTAAATTAGAGCTTAAGTTAAAAGAGTCTCATATGATGCGTAATTAACTGACATTTTTGGATTGACATAGCCATTTCCATTAAATTGTAATCTCCTCCGCATGATCTCTGATGGACAAAACATAGTGAAATCCGTTTTCTGCACGTACGCTGGTCTCACTGCCGTCTGGTCGGGTCTGGTATGTGAGGAACGAAAGGCAGTCAAAACATGTTTCCATTGCCGTTCACTAGATAAGTTACAAATGTTTGGGCAATCGACAGTGTATAAACAAGTTAGGAAATAGTACAAAAACAGTAAGAACCAGGAGCACCCACAAACATGCATCTACAGTAGGCCACCATGAAAGCTTTTGTACACTCCGCTTCGCACAGCGAGCTTCCTTACTTTGAATGTACATGTGAAATCACTCATCAGTCCTGCAATCATTCTAATCCGTCTGTATTTCCCTCGTCATTTCCCACACAATTTTGAACGCAGGAAAAATCCCGCTCTACATGTATACTATATTGCACTTATATTGATACCCCGAGTAGTAAAAGGTATTGGATTGAATTACTATGTTCAAAAATTACCACCAGAATACAGAAATACAAACAAGGGTGGGTAATTAATCGGAATCTAGTCTGAGTTTGGCTTCTCACAAATGATAAAAATATAATCGAAGAAAAACAAGCATTCTTTGAGCTGTTGAATGCCATGTCAGTTGGACTTGACTGTAAAATCAAACACACAACAAAAATAATTAAACACATTGTATATTAAAATGCAAGACATCTTTTTAGAAAGATGGCCAGTACTAATACTAAATGCAATGTTAAATCCAACCAACTTCCAGGGGTGATACTCCTTCAAATAACCAATATTCACACACAATCGCTGGAGAAAGATATAGAGAAAGGCAATACTTTAGGGCATAGACTCTTCCTCATCTATCCTGAATTTTGGTAGTTGAACACATAATTTTGAAATCAACAAATAACCTTTTTAATAATGATAAACTATCAATCAAAATGATTTGGGGAGGGGGGGGGGGGTTCCGTAATCGCTCAGTCCTAAATACAAACATGGATACAAACGTAAAATTAAGATAACTGATGCTCCATGAGAGTGCAATACTTACATAATGGGGAAAGAGCTACTTGAATTATCTGGATAAGAAACAGGAACAGGCCTCCTTGACTGGCCGAGTAGTACGCAGATCAGTGCAGATGGCTTAAATCTTGTATGATGTCTGGTGGGTAGGTAATGTGCTCCCAATCTGATCTGATCCCTAAGTACCAGGTGAAGCCAGCGTAACTCTGGAAAGAGATGAGAAGATCAGTGAGAGATAAATCAAATCTAACAAATAGACACTTCTAATTTCAAAAAAATGCGGAATCAACAGACGGTGAATTTCAAGTTCAAGATATAGTGGGACCTCTACATAAAAATGTCTCTTCATACAAAATTTTCAACTTACAAAACGCCTCAATAGGAAAATATTGCCTCTTGTTCCAAAAGAAATTTCAAGATTCGAAAGGTAGAACTACAGTATGGGCTGCTACTCACAGCTCCGAGTTTCCTGAACGCAACATACTTATAGCTGCTCTGCCATTGGCTATTACCTAGCATCTTACTGGCCCCGCATTGGCTAAGAGGGATCTCTACCGTATGTGTCTGTGTGTGTAGACAGATAAATAGATAGATATGTGTCTGTGCAGCGTCCTTGTCATTAGTCCCTCGGGCCATTAGGCGTTCTGATAGTTTTACGTAGATGTGAATCACCCAGTAAACGTGTTCACCAGTCAGGCGATCGCTCACTATGCCTTGGACATTTTCGAAGGATTGTTAAAAGCCAACAAAAGCAAATGTCCTTGGATCAGTTCTTTACAAAACGCCAGGCAAAAACCAGCACTGAGAAAGGACATGAACTAAAGATGGTAAAAAAAACGATGAGGACGCAGTGAAAAGTTAAATGACCATCATTTTTATTCTTTATTGTACTCTTATTTACATGATGCACAACTCTGATGTAAGACGTATAATAATACGATTAATATCAATAATCTAACTGTAAGACGTATTTGTTACATATTTTGATGCATTTTCATGCTTTAAAAAACATTTATGTCTGAATTTTTTGGGAAGGGGGGGCTTGGAACGGATTAGGGCATTTACATGGAAAACATGTCTCTACTAACAAAATTTTCTAGCTAAGAAATTTCTTCCAGAACCAATTAATTTCGTAAGTAGAGGTACCACTGTACTTAAAGTTCCATACAAGTTAAAGCCCCATTACACCTACCTGTGTGTGTCCACATTTTGATCATCTTTGTATTTTCTACCAGTATGGCTAATCTTTACTTGGCTTATTCTTTGCATAAAATATCTTGACCGAAATGCCAGATTGAAGTCAGGTGGAGAGACACAATGCCTTTTAGTTCTGGTCAACATTTGGTCATCTTCCAAAAATCAACCAAGAATCAGTGGAAACGAGAGCTGGGCGATATGATGATATGTACTGTGATGACAATAGACTCTATCGTGTCATTTTTCGACTATCATGCCGAATGTCTTTGTCAACTGTGGCAAAATGCATACAAGGTTGCCAAGAAACGCTTGATTTGACAGAGAAATGCTTTCACTGAACAATCTTCGGCCCAACCGCTGCCACTAGTTGGCAGACTCAACAACAATATGAGGAAGTGAATCATGTATACAGTATTAGTCATCCTTCATGACAGACCTACGGTGCAAATTTAAATCTAATAGTCAATGAAAATTAATAACGAGGTGGGTGAGTGCAAATAACGAATACTACTGCTTTGGCAAAGAATAAACTAATACCAACAAACCAGTAATTATTAATACCTATTAAAAAAAGACCCTTACAGCATGCTGGCTACACGTTCAAACTACACAAGCAAAGCAGTTTGCAATTTTGAGCCTCAGCAAAACACAAACAATATCAAAACTGAGAATCACAGATTTTTAAGTTTTTCCTTAATTTCAACAGCTGTGACCATCCCAAAAAGGTTCGTTGAGCTGTTTATGTTGCTGGTATTTGGCAGGTCGAGACGAAACATGGCAGCAGTTAGCAAGTGCATCAACGAGCTTTGACTACTGCCTGCTAAACACGTTGTGGGTTTCGTACAAGTATCATCCTCACAAAGGGATTGCAAGGAGTAAATATCAGAGATAAAGACAGAGACGCCATGCTACTTGCTTAGCTAAATTAATGTTATTCATCTTGAAAAACCGAATTAAGTGCTTGGGTGATGGAGTACACTTCACAGAGGTCTCCCTGGAACTGTATTCAAGTGGAGCATATCCAACAATGAATACCAAAATAGTATTCATTCATTTTCCGAACCGCTTTATCCTCACTAGGGTCGCGGGGGGTGCTGGAGCCGATTCCAGCAGTCTTCGGGTAGTAGGCGGGGGCTGAACCGGTTGCCAGCCAATCACATGGCACACACAGACGAACAACCATCCACGCTCACACTCACACTTGCAGACAATTTAGAGTGTTCTATTAACCTGTTTCAAAAACACCACAATTTTCATGCAGGTCATATCATATTATTATGTTGTATTTATCCGTAACACCTTAAAGGCCGGTCCCTGAAAATATTGTCTGAAGTTAAACCGGTCCGTGGGGCAAAAAAGGTTGGGGACCTCTGGCCTCGAAGATTAGATGTATATTAATATTGAGGTTAAGTGATTCAGAAAAGAGGTGCATATAATATATTGAATGTACAAATGTAATTATTTTTTCAAAATACAGTCCTGAGTTTTGATTTTGACTTTTGAGATCTCCACAACAAAAGTTCTCAAAATTACATGACAGCAGAGATCATGTTTGAGGGTATGGTGACCTGAATGTTTAAATAGGTGAAATAAAAAAGTGATATTGAAATAAAAAGCATCACATTGGCAGTTAAAAGAGCCTGGTTGGAGGCTTACTAAGACAAAGATCTAGCCAGGAAGAAGAAAACCACTGTGCCACTGAAAAGAACTCGTGCCGGAGTAAAAACTAGGTCAGCAGGGCTCAATGGTCTTAAACCAGCTGGCCTCAATTTCCATTCCAAATCTATTCTTTCCTAAAGTCAGTGAGTCAACAAGCCATTCAGTTTCATTTCCGTATTGCAGTAGTCTACACCCATTCGGAGAACCTGTCATCAGCCTATTCATGAACCAAAAAAAAAAAAAACATTCACGCACGCACATGCACACAATCCCACCTTAGATCAACTAAAACATGACCGTCAGATGTAAAACAAATGGTTAAAACGGATTTCACAACTTAACCATTAAATGCACTTATGGAACTGATTAGTGAATTCATTTAACAGTTTTAAGAAGGATGGCGGCACACAAATATAAATTAAGGATGTCCTGAAGCAAATTTTTAATTTCCAATATGACACCGATATTGCAACCCTGAGTATTGACCGACGTTGATATTATCCTGGTATGGCATCAGCACGAATCATGCATTTTTATTACTTATTTTGTAATCAAATCTGTTACAAAAGCTTTCAACTGGTTATACAATCCCCTCCAAAAATAAAACGGTGAATGAAACAGTATGGTCAATTCCTTTGTTTCTGTTGTATACTAAAAATTTGGGATTCAGAGCATCTTTTGTTTGAAGCCAGACACTTTAAGTGACAAAGGTATTGGAACAGATTACAGTGGAACTTCGAGCCTCACTGGGCTTCCATTACCGACTGTTCTCTCAACCGGGTGAAATTGTGAACGCTTGTGGTCAAAATGTAACAAGCATTACGTCCAGCATAAGGGTAATTCAAAATGGTTACTGTGATCCCAGTTATTCTCGTTGTCCTTGTTGACATCCTCTTCCAATTGTATTTTTGGGGGGGGGGGGGCGATGTTTCGTTTGAACTCAGCCCTTGTGCTCTTGAAAACAACTGCACAAGAAATGAAGATAACATATCTCTGCTCCTTGTATTATTGTTTAACTAAATTCCGTGTATTGTTCACTGAAAGAACTTTGCAATTTGTATTTTGTAATATTAATTTAAAAGTAATTGGACAAGTGGCCACTCAGCTGTCATTCCCTGATTATTTCACTTAGAAGGAGCAGATAAAAGGCCTCGTGTTCATTTCAAGTGTGGTATATTCATTTGGCAGCTGGTAATATCATCTCTCAATATGAAGTCCATAGACCTGTCACTATACGCAAAGCAAGCAATCATTAGGATGAAAAATCAAAACAAACCCATGAGAAACATTAGGTTTGGCAAAATCAACTGTTTGGAACATTGTTTAAAAAAAAAAAAACACGCCAGTGAGCTCAGCAACGCCAAAAGACCTGGAAGACCATGGAAAACAAATGTGGTATGTAACAAACAAATCCTTTCCCTTGTCAAAAAACACCCTTCACAACAGATGGCCAGATCAAGAACACTCTCCGGGAGATGGCTATATCTGTAAATTAACAATTCCACGACTTCAGAGGAAATACTGAGGTTTTACCGAGAGGTGTAAACCAGGCCAGATTATACTTTGCCAAGAAACACCTAAAAGAGCCTGCACTGTTCTGGAACATTTTATGAACAAATGAGGAAAAGATCAACTTGTACCAGAATGACAGCAAGAGGAAAGTATGGAGTAGAGAAGGAACTGCTCAAGTCCAAACCATACCACCTCATCAGAGAAAAATTGTGGTGCAAGTGCAATGGTGTGGGCATGTACGGTTACTATGATCCACACATATACAGCCAAATGTTTCGAAGGTCATGTCACAATGCAGATGGACAATAATCCAAAACATGCTGCAAAGGCAACCAATAAGCTTTTAAATGCAAAGAAGTAGAATGTTGTGCAATGTCCAAGTCAATAAACCGACCTGAATAGGATTTAACATGTATTTCATTTTCTGTATGCAAAATTTCAACGAAATTCCCAAAGAACAAGCAGGAACTGAAGATGGCTGCAGCAGAGGCGCTGCCAGAGCATCACAAGAGACGAAAGCCAGCAATCACTGCTCGGTTGACATCATGTCCACGAGTTTGAGACTTCAGGCTGTACTTGATTGCAAAACATCTGGAACTAAGTATTAAAAAGTGGAAATCAGTTTTATGGTTATGTTACTTCGACCGATGACTTTTGATCCCTGAACAGGGTGGAGGCTCATGGAGATTGCGTTGCAATTCCAACGCCGTTCAACTGAGTTGGATGTAAATACTCTTAAATTAAAGCTCAGAGGCTGAACTTAGCGCACATCTTGATTGATTCATTTCAAAGACATCGTAGCGTTCCATATAGCTGGAATGCTAGAATGATGAAATTT